TTTCTTCATCACCAAGTCGCTTGAACTTTCATAAAATACTGAGAAATGTCGGAAACTTTCGAAAATTTTCACAGTTTTTGTGAATGCATTTCTAAAATCTTCGTATATTCATATCAATGTAAAAGAAATTTGAATGATTCAACCGTCGTGGAGATTTCCTAGAAATTATTTTGTTATATATTGAAAAATAGTCGAAATTTGTTTCTTTGCAACCAATAATTATCGACTCATGTGCTAATTATTTTGTAAATTTCTTCTCTTGAAAATTTGACTCTTAATGAATTCAATCGTCGAAGAAACATATTACTTTCATCTAGATAACGAGTGCATCAAGATAAATGTCTCTTTGCATATTTTCTCAATATCTCGATCACGATTCATTGCAGCCGTAATTTTTTTTTTTTTGAAAGATTTGCTATTTAATTCTCTATAAAATGGTCAATTTTAATCGACAATCAAAGTGGCTATTATTTATTGAATATTTGCAAAAATAACACGAGCTTTGCTCGTCGATTAAAATTGACTATTTTCTAGAGAATTAAATTGCAAATTATTTTCTTAACTGTAGATTAACTTTGACTACCACAATTTGAATCATCATTGAAATTCGTGACATTATGGAAATAACGAAAGCAACATTATTTACAAAACGAGTTACATCCTTCGAAAGAAAGAAACCAATAACTCCTAAATTGAGCATTAGCCCTCAAAGAAAAAAAACATTGATCAATAAACCACTTGCATCATCATTGAAAGGAACCGAAATTGTTGCTGATTGCCAAGTCAAAGAAATACCAATATGCTTAGATAATACAACATCACCGTCCTTAATTGATACTCATGGTTCCATAAGACCAAGACGTATTCGTATTGTACAAAATTTTACATTAATATGGTTAGACTCAAGCATTGATGAAACAGATCTAGACTATACAAGCTCATTAGACAAACTTCGACCAATTGTCAATATCATCAATACATTTCGAGATGCTCAATTATGCATTAATTTTCTTCAAGATATGAAAGATGTAAAGACATTTCTGATTATCTCAGATGCTCTTGGAGAAACAACATTACCTCAAATTCATAGCATGTCTCAACTTGTTGCTATTTATGTATTTTCTACTAATCCATCTAAACATGAACATTGGGCGAACAAATGGGGAAAAGTAAAAGGTATATTCGTTCATATCGACTCGATTTTTGATATATTAAAACGTGATGTTCAACAATGTGACCGTGATTTGATTTCAATTAGTGTTACAAGTAGAGATTTGAGTCGTCTTGATCCATCTTTTATGTATACACAATTACTCAAAGAAGTTCTTATTGAAATGCCCCATGATGATAAAGAAAAGATCGAACTTGCTGAGTTTTGTCGACAACAATATCTTGACAATCAATATGAATTACAAATGATTAATGAATTTGAACGAGATTATCATATTCATACATCAATATGGTGGTATACACGCGAATCTTTCGCCTATCAGATGCTTAATCGAGCTCTACGAGTTGAAGATATTGAAATTATTATCAAGATGCGTTTCTTTTTACGCGATCTTCATCGACAAATTAAAGAATTACATTCGAAAACTGAATACAATGGTCATTTTACAGTTTATCGAGGTCAAGGTATGTCAATCAGAGACTTTCAAAAAATCAAAAATAGTGAAAATGGTCTTTTGGCATTCAACAGTTTTCTATCTACAAGTCTAAGCGAAAGTATTTCATTAGGATTCGCTCGTACAGCATTATTCAATCCCGATTCAGTAGGCATTCTCTTTCGTATGACTATCAATCCATCGGTTTCGTCTACTCCATTCGCCAATACTGACACTATTGGTTTCTACAATGACTTAGAAAAAGAAGTGTTATTCTCAATGCATACAATATTTCGAATAGGTCAAATTAAATCTATTGAAGATCGACTATGGTGTGTAGAACTTTCATCGGCCAGTGAAGATGACGATCAAGAACTTAAACGACTCACGGAATATGTACGAAAGGAAACACAAGGAAAAACAGCATGGCATCGAATCGGTAAATTATTGATTAAAACAGGAAGTTTTGATAAAGCTGAAGAAGTCTGTGAAATGTTACTCAGAGAAACATCAAAACATGATAGAAATGAACTTTCACTTCTTTATTTTCAACTTGCATATGTCAAACGGAACAAAGGTAACTATGACGAAGCACTCAAGTTCTATCAACAATCACTTGAAATTCGACAAAATATTCTCTCTCAAAATCATCCAGATTTAGCTGATACTTACACTTCTATCGGTTTACTTCATGACAATATGGGTGAATACTCAAAAGCACTCGATTTCTATCAAAAATCACTTCACATTTGGAAAAACATTATTCCTTCAAATCATTCAAAATTAGCTTCTATATACAACAATATTGCAACGATATATATGACTATAAAAGAGTATTCAAAAGCATTGGAATATTATGAACATTCATTAAAAAATGAAAAGAAATCACTACCATTAAATCATTCCAATTTGACTATTACCTCCGGTAACATTGGTTTTATGTATAAAAAATTGACACAATATACAAAAGCACTTGAATTTTTTCATAAAGCACTTAAAACCAGTCAAAATGTTCCTACTTTAAGTCGTCCATGGTTGGCTAATATCTACAATAACATTGCTTTATTGCATAAAAATATGAGCGATTATTCAAAAGCATTGGAATTTTATCATAAAATGCTTGAATTTCAACAAGGATTTATCACTTCAAAACATCCAGAGTTGGGTAATACATACTGTAATATAGCTTTGATGCATTACAACATGCGAGAATATTCCAAAGCACTCAAATTTTATTTTAAAGCTCTTGAAATGTATCAGAATAATATTCCTCTACATAATCTAGGCTTCGGCATTGTCTATAATCAAATTGGTCAAGTCTACGAAAAAATGGGAGAATACGCTAAAGCAATATCATTTTATCAACAAGCTATTGAAATTGGACAAAAATCATTGTCGAAAAACGATCCTTGTCTTCAGTCATGGGGCAGACGCCTTGTTACAATCCAAAGCAAAAATATCTGACATTTACTAATTTTAATGAATAAATGACCTTGTATGATTGTAGTCTCTAACAAGAACATTATTTTGCCCTAGACATGATGTTTAACAGTATCAGAAGGACAATGCACATAGCGCACAGGGGCTCTAGGGATGCCTTATTTTTGTTTATTTAAAAGGTAAGAATATCTGCGGCAACGGTGTGACTTAAGAATGTGCGACACAATGCGTATGAGAGTGTTTTAAAAGCTCTGCCTTCACTAGAGAGCTGCGGATTTACGTTTTTTTGAACCCGAACTCGCAGCTCCCTAGCCTTAAACACTATGTTTTCTTTTCATTGGATATGATATCTTTCTTTCTTCGATCGCATATCATTTTTTATGCTCGTTTTTTCATGAAAACCCTCAATGTGTGTAATCATGGTACATAGACAATTGAGTCTCTTAACTTTGGAGCTCCCGTCATGTAAGCCTTCTAGCAACGATGGTCAATATATACTTAGAGTGTACCAAAAGTTCGAATCACGATGTTTAAAATTTTATAAAACAGTAAATATTGAATGTTTTATTATGGGAATATATAGTATAACGTCTCGTCTTTAATAATCTATAGAGCAGCTCTATCTTGGATTTAGTTCTAACATCTTGCTAGATAAAATCTATAGTACTTATGGCCAAGAAAAGATCCTGACAACATAAAACCAGAATACGAAAAGAAAGAAATATTCGTAGTTTTATTTTATTAAATGCTCAAAATAATCACCATTATTCTCTATACAAAGTTCCATTCTTTCTAACAGTTTATCGAAAGTCTTTTTAAACTCGTTTATTGAAATATTCTTCACTATGGTGGAAACCTCCTGAGCCAGCGATTCATCGTTTGTGTGATCCGCCAAATTCCTCTTGATTTAATCATTTAGCCAAAAGGCACAGGGCGCAGGATCTGGTGAATGTGGTGGATGTGGAATTATTTCAATACCTTTCTCTGTTAAATAATTAACAACATCTCGATGAGTATGAGGACGACCATTATCGTGAAGCAGTTTATATTTTGTACGTGATGAGTTTTCCTTTTTTTTCTTATTTCATTTATAACAAATATGAGACAATTTTCAATATAGTAGTTGTGATCGATAGTCTTGTCTTTATCTACTTTATGTATAAGAACAGAACCAGTGGATTTAAAGAATAAGCAAAACAATGTTCTAGGTTCAGATCTATTCCGACGAACAACGGTCCTTGGTGGCTCATTTTCACCAATCCAGGTAGAATTGCTTGACTTCCGACCAATCTGTCTGTGATAAATCCATGTTTCATCGTCAGTAATAATATCACATAACCGGTCATAGGAAGTTATCCAAACACGCTAGCCGAAGAAATATGGTTCACTTCATATAGAAAAAATCGACCAATCAGAATCGAGTCCACAGTTTACCTTAACCTATATACTTCTCTCGTTTCCTGTGTACATCTTGAAACAAACAGTATGCCACTGTTAAGTCATTATTAATTAATTAGTACTCATCATGATTACTACTAACTATGTGAGTACTTAACTAATTAGCGCTAGTTAGTCTAGTACTAATTACAGTAAGCACCCTCCTGTATTCTAGAGGTACCTTTGGGTCCTCAAGTCCTATATTCTAGAGGTA